TCAAATTAGAAAACTATCATCATATTTTCATTTTATAATTTATCTTTATAGTTTTTGATAATCATGTGATTACCTATGGTTACTGACTCTTCCGGTTATAATCCTATATTGATACTACAGGCATAAGACTTTACACTCTCCCACACACACAAAGTTTTGACTCCAACCTGCCTTATGTATAGATGAAACCACTCTCTCAACTTGCTTTCATTCCTGGAAATTCCATTACACAATGACCAAACACTTTATCATATTTAAATGTCATATTTTACCAAGTCCCGGTAAGTCGAACAGGGTCTCTGAGGCAAAGGGAGAAGGGCAACGGGGTAAGGAGAGCTGGACAAGCAATGCTCATGCAGCATCTTTATTGAACAAGCAACAGACTTTCATAGGTCTCTAGAAGGAAGCATACATTGGAAAAATATACAGGAATGTTCAGGATACATAAGTTTGGAATGTACTGGGTTTCTAGACATCAATGATGTTTTTCTATAGTTACATAGTTTCAATGATATTTTCCTTGGTTATATATTGGTCACTGTCACTGTCCTCCCGTTGTTCATTAATTTGCTCCAGTGGGCCCAGTAACATTGTGAAACTTGTTATTACTGTTTTTGGCATATCGAATACATCACAGGTAGCTTGCCAGTTTTTGCCGTGCAGCAAGATACTCTCAGTAGCTTGCCCGGCTGTCTGAGAGGAGCGGAGCAACATGTTCTGCCACAAAAGAAAGAGCCCACTAGAAAAAGTAGAAAGTCAGCTCTTAGAATGTGTAACCCCAAGACAATGGTTTCTATAAACCAGACTTTAGACAACACGTCCCCAGGACAAGAACTTTCTTAATATTTAACTAGCACAGGCTCCCAACAACATTTGTTTTCATTATTTTTGTGTGTTGCCAATCATGCTAGTATTCAAGAAGCACATTATATTTATCTTTCATGAGCTTAGTCTTCAGTTCAGTTCTCAGAGGGATATGATGGGCCAATGACTAGCTGAAAGTGGTCTGGAATGACATTGAAACTCATCACAATTGGGTTTCTCGTATACCTGTTCACAGAGTAATATAATGCTTAAGGAAAATGGATAAGCAGTAAACAAATCACACACACACACACACACACACACACACACACACACACACGGAAAACTAACAAGCAACAAAAGTTCATGAGATAAATGGAAATATTTTTGTATGGCTGCTGATTTCTTGCTGTCTCCAATGTCTAGACTCTATGTCTGGCCTCAGATTATAGGTTTGCTGCCCATGAGCACAAGTCCTTGGAAAAAGGAAATTAAAACATTTCTTCTTTAAGAAAAGTTTAAACTAGAGACTAGCTATAGCAATTTGGGCAGGGTACTTGCACTGCTCATGTCCAACCTGGGTTGTATCTATAGAATCCCATATGGTCCCTGGAGTCTACCAGAAGAAATCCCTGAGCACAGAGCCAGGAATGGTAAGCTCTGAGCACAACTAATGGCCCAAATATAAAAACAAAAACGGCAAAGCATTACTTGATAAAATTCTAGGGATAATTACTTGCTTTTATAACAAAATAAGTGAATAGAAAGTTTTACCATTTATCTTAGGGTCATCACTATTTACACAAGTTCATTATAAACACACACACACAGACACACACACACTTGCTTAGTCTCTTTAAATGACTTAAGGCTTGACTATTCATTATTATTTTATCTAAGCGACCTAAGTCTTTTAGATAATATTAAAATCATAGATGACTTAGTGGGAGAGATAGTACGGGGATCATGGATACATTCCTTGAAGGAGGAAATTTGATCCCCAGAAACATATCCCTTGCTATATTCCCCCCCCCCACACACACACACACTGCGCCCCAATGCCTTTCCATACTGCTACAGTGACAGCACTGCCAGGCCTACATCCTTGGGCCCTTAGCATTAAACTTTCTGGTCTAGTTGGCCAAGTATCTCTAGGAGTAACCCCTCAACTCCCTGAGCACTGCTTTGGAAGGTCCCCAAATCATAGTGGATTTGTTAATCATCAATAACTTTGTATATATAAAATGTTTCTAAGTTTAGTAAATTTTATTTCTATAGAACTGATTATAAAGGTAAAAAGGCCCTCCCGTTGATCATTGATTTCCTCGAGCGGGCTCAGTAACATCTCCATTGGAGACTTTGTTGTTACTGTGTCTGGCATATCGAATACTCTCGGTAGCTTGCCGGGCTCTCCGAGAGGGGCGGAGGAATCGAACTCGGGTCGGCCATGTTGGCTGCGTGCAAGGCAAATGCCCTACCCGCTGTGCTATCGCTCCAGCCCTTATATGTATATATACATATGTACATGCGCACAAATATATATACATATGTATGTTTGGTAGCAATATAAATTAATCCCTAAGCCATCACCTGTCACTGACCATTTTAGGCTTCAACACTGGCCATGTCCTCTTCTCTATTTGAATTTTCTTTTAATTGGTGGTATTTCTCACTTACAACATTTCTTGACTGAAATCAAGCCAAAAAACTGAACACATTTAAAATGAGCTGAAGTAAAATTTTTAAAGATAATTTGTGGAAATTTATACATACAACGTAGTTGGAATGTTTATCCCTCTGCCCTTTCAAGCAGATTCATAGGATAACTCTAAACTAGGGCTTTACTGAATTTTCATGGAACTCCATGAAACTGAGCATTCAGTTGCATAAAGTAATACTTATCTGTGAGAATAAAATCTATTAGATGTAATTGGAGAGTCACTATAAAATAATTTATACCAATAAATATGAAACACTTTCATAAGACATCCCTCACTTTTGATGACATGTCTAATTCTGACCACACTCTTGGAGAAATGGCACAACAGTACTAGAAAGGATTTATCAAAGATAGTTATTCAAACTTTAGAGGATGTCTACTCGAGTTTTATCTAGAGATATCCTGTATGGCCACTGAAATTATAGAGATAACTGGGACTTATAATAACATTGGCTCTCATGGTTGAACCATTAACATTTTTATGTGCTTTAGAAAAATATGCGAATTTAAATTTCTCTAGAATTTTTGAGGTATTTTTTTCTTGAGGAAAAAAAACATAATGAGATCACTTTTGTTGAAAATTTAATTTCGGAGCTTGAGACATACTATATTGGGTAGAATATTTGCTTCAGATGACTGACCCGAGTTCTATTCCGGGCATGACAGTGGTCTACCGAGACTGCCAGGAGTGATCCCTGAACACAGCTGGGTGTGGTCCACTAACCAATGAACAAATAAATAAAAGTTATTTTAAAAGAAAATTTAAGTTGGCACTTTCAAATTTTTTACATTGAGTTGAGTTTCAAGATCTTTATGGTAGAATTTTCAAATTGTTGGACTAGAAAGAGATATGTATTTTTTTGTTGTTGTTGTATTTTTGGTTACACCTGGTGATGCTCAAGGGTTACTCCTGTCCATGCTCTCAGAAATTACTCCTGGCAGTGCTTCTGATATCAGCCCAGGCCAGCCATGTTCAAGGCAAGCACTATACCGGCTGTACTATCTTTCGGTCCCAAGAAATAAATTTTATCTGGAACAACTGTTTTGTGTTTTTAAAAATATTAGTCGGTTAAAAAGAAAAAATAAGTAGTATTGAATATATTTAAGTGAGTGGAGTAAATTAATAATAAGTATCATTACTAGTGTATGTATTAAATCAATACAATTTAAAATATAATTGTGAATTCATTTTAGAAATATTTTTTATTCAGCATATATGTTATTGTGGAATACAGGGGGGAAATGCCTCCAAATAATTTTTTTAAGAATATACTAGTTTGGTGTTCTGAATTTAATTGAAGGGGCAGGAGAGTTAGCTCAGGGATTAAGGTGCTTGCCTTGCAGCCAACCCTGGCTCCATCCTGGCATGTCTGGATGTATCTCAATCCTCCCATCCCCACCCCAGATAAATTTACAAATACATAATTTTTTTAAATATTGGAGATTTAAATTATTATAAATACTTTGTCTGTACTAACATTAATTTTATTTGCTTTATTATTTTTAAAGGGTCCATAGCTAGCAATTGCTGGGGAGCCCAGGACCGCTTCTAGTGATAAGCAGCCTATATTACAATCAGGAGTTTGGACACAGTAGTGCTTGGGGGTCACCAGGGTCACCACAAGACTGTTCTTGGGATCATTGTCATGGTGCTCTGATACAGTGCTGGCTATCAGATTCTGGGCTATATACATAGTATGCATGTACTCAACCATTTCAGTTATCTCGGTGAACTTCCTAATATTTTGTGACAAAATTTGCAGCAAAGTGTTTTAAATATCCTTATTGTCTTATATAAATTTATATATTTTTCAATTTCTAAAGAAATGTTGGCTGGAGTGATAGCACAGCGGTAGGATGTTTGCCTTGCACTCAGCCAACTCAGCCCGGATAAGCCAGGTTCGATTCCTCCGCCCCTCTTGGAGAGACCGGCAAGCTACCGAGAGTATCTCACCCGCATGGCAAAGCCTGGAAAGCTACCATGACATATTCGATATGCCAAACATAGTAACAACAAGTCTCAAAATGGAGATGTTACTGGGCCCGCTTGAGCAAATTGATGAACAATGGGAGAACAGTGCTACAGTGCTAAACAAATGTGTTTTGTAGAAAATGTATGTCGTAATTAAATATTAAAGATAGAGAAACTTTACAAGTCGTGTTTAACTAAATAGAGTTTGGAATTTCAGGTACTAATAGATGAAACTTTTTCAAACTAATGTAAGTTTGGAATTTCAAGTACTAATAGATGAGACTTTTCCAAACTCTATTTTATAAATGGGGAAATCTCATAGTTGTGTTTATTGCATTGTCTTATTTAAACTTGAGTGACATAGTCATAATGATAAAAGTTTTAGTGCTCTATTATAAAAACTTACATAATAGAAAACTCTGGTAATACAGTTGCAAATGAATCCAAGAGGTAGATGAAAAATTGAAGGGTATTATTTAAAATTCTGTTTCTTCATGCTAATAGCTCACAGTACTGTGAATGACACAAATGTCCCAGTAGAAACGACTGAATGTATTCAAGGTCAAGGTGAAGGTTACCGGGGAACCATCAATACCATCTGGAATGGAATCCCATGTCAACGTTGGGATTCACAGTATCCTCACCAGCATTCCGTAACTCCTGAAAATTTCAAGTGCAAGTGAGTAAATGGGATGGATTTAAATTTCCATAGGACCTTGGGGTAATGAGACCGAGGAATTACTTTTTACTTACATCTGTGTTAGGGCTCTTTAAAATATCTACATCCCAGGGACGATCAGCAGTTAAAAGGCAGGTTCATGCACCCAGAGACTTTTTTGAAAGTTGCAAGGGATTGAACTTGGGTCTTCTATGTGTAAGGCATATAATCTGTTGCTGAGTTCTATCCTTGGCTCTCTGATTGTCTGAGAACACTGAAGAATCTCGTGGTTGTCAGGCATGACTGGGTCCAGAGACTCATTTTTTTTTTTAAATCTCCTCATCAGAATTGGAGATCAAATCTGGACCTTATATGCGTAAAATGTGTGCTCTCACATTTCCACACCCCTGCAAACCAGAATTTCTTAAGTCTGTGATTTGAATCTCAGACATGCGTTTATTTAGTAGGCTCCCTAATTGATTCTAAGTCAGCTTCCAGTACCATACTGTGAACTGTGAACGTCCTTAGGTTTCGATCACAGTTGATCTGATCACAAATCATGATAATTATAATCAGGCAAGTTTTAAAGAAGTGTCTTCTTAAATTTTCAGATTAACTTTAGGGAGATTTTTCTCTTGTACGAAGGGGCATACTTGATCAGCCAACACTGCAAATTAATAAAATTGTGCCCTGAACCAAAAAATTACTTTAAAAATTGTACATGAATGTCTGTTATTTCTAGATTTGCGTTACAAAGCAGGGCAGTACAAGAACTTTTAGGGTCTATCACATGAAAGAAATTGCCCTTACATGTCAGTTTTATAGTTCATGCCTTTGTCATTGCTGCTTTTATTTTACCACTTGGCAGACATGGCCACACTGCCATATGTTTTTAAATTGTCCACCTTGTTATGAGGAACATAAAATGATTGCTTCAAAATGTATAACACACCTGTCATTCATAGTGACTTTGTTAAAATAGAAACTATAAATAACATATATTGGCTTATATAATTGGCTTTTAATAAGAGAACTTAACATTTCAAGATGGAGAACTATGAGTATTATTTGGTCTATCCATCAGAGGAGAGATATTTTATGGCATTTTGTTTTTTTGGTTAACTCATGATATTTGCTTAGATAGTACGTATCCATCTTTTATTATTGCGCAATAACAAATGTATACTTGTGATTCTGGGTTTGTTTTTCTCATTTAATGCACAACTTTCTCTTTCAGATCCATGTGTTTTCCACCTCACCAATAAAAAATCAGAGAAACCAAATATTTGTTAGTGAAGAAAAATGAAACAATGTGTCTTTTATTTTACTTACTGTTAACTTTAAAAGACTGTCTTTCTTAAATAAGAATACCTATATGTTAAATACCCAGTGAAACTTATCTTATACTTTTACCATTAGAAAAAATGTTTATAGGTGTTTGATTCATATACTTCATAGTTGAAATGTAATTTTCAATCATTTAACTGTTTCATTTTACCAGAATTAAAGACATTCTTTCCTGGTTACTTGGCAAAATAACCCCAAACACATACATATCAAAAGGAAAAATTTAGCAGTGTTATAAAACTGGTAAAAACCTAACTCAACATTTTTCTCAGAGTTACTGTCTGTAGTCAGGCAGAGAATAGTATACTGGTAAATTATATAGCTTTATTTGCCATAATCCTTTAGATTTCTTAAAAATGACACCACTTTTAAATACTAGAGATGAAAAATACTGTCTTAATGAATCCACATGAATCTTATACTTCACAATTTGTCTAAGTAATTATAAATAATTCTTCAAGGGAAGAGAAATAACTAAGAAAAATACTTGAACAAAACTCAATTCTCATTCTTGCTTAATCTAGATTAATGAAGTGTTTAAAGATACAGGTTTTAAAATAGACATAGGCTGTGAAGATAGCAGATTCTGGAGTGCATACTTTGCATGTGGGAGCCCTGGGTTTGATCTCCGCACCCCAGGTTCCTTTGAGCAAGACCTGAGCATAAAGCTGGGAGTAGCCTTCAGTACTATTGAGTTTGTCTCCCATCTAATATACATAAAAAAGGAAATTAGCATAAAGGTTTTTGATAACTTTTTATCTTTATTTTGTTGCTTTAAATTAACAAGCCAAAATAACTTAACTCTGGGCTGGAGCAATAGCACAGCAGGTAGGGCGTTTGCCTTGCACGCAGCCAACATGGCTGACCCGAGTTCGATTCCTCCGCCCCTCTCGGAGAGCCCAGCAAGCTACCGAGAGTATCTCGCCCTCATGGCAGAGCCTGGTAAGCTACCCGTGACATATTTGATATACCAAACACTGTAACAACGGAGTCTCACAATGGAGACGTTACTGGGCCTGCTCGAGCAAATTGATGAACAATAGGAGGACAGTGCTGTTGCTCATTAAAAAGAAAATTGTATAAATATTACACAAAATCTATTGTGCAAATTTTGTACCAACTAAATTTAAAACATTAGCTAATACCAATTTGTTAAAATAAATGGTATATTTTATTCAACTTTTCTAGTTAAAAAAAATTTTTTTCAAGGCTAAAAACTGCAATATGAGTTATAATAATGAACATTATATACAATGATTTCAACTATTGGAAATCAGTGTTCTAACAACCATCAATAACATTCTTGTGTCAGGACCAATATAGCTAAATAGTATTTTTGATTTTGTTATTAGTCAATGCAAGCTTCTTTCTTAAATTATTTTCATTTTCTAATGATTCCTTTGAGTATTAATCAAATTATAATACTTCTATTGGACCTAAATGATGCAAAAACTGTAGTTTAAAAGATTGAATATTAATTTAGTTAGATTACTGGGGGGTATTTATGGAAAGAATATGCTTTGTCCTAGTCAAATACAAGTTCAAGAAAGTAAATCATAAATTCCACATTTTATTCAATGTGAACCTTATATTAGGCTTACACAGAGAGAATATAGTATTTTCTTATTTAGAACTTTAAGTGTTCAATTATTAATTGGTAAAGTAATGTACATGTCCTATATTGACAATTCATATAGTAGTTTTGTTATAATTATGCCTTGATTTTATATTAATGCTTATAAACTCTTAGGTAGTTTTTCTTATTAAAAAATCTACTACATTAGAGAGATAGTATAGGACTTGAGATGCTTGCCTTGCATGCAGTGACCCTAGTTCCGTGGTAACCTATAAGCATCATATGGTCTGACAAAAAAAGAACCCCTCAAATTAAAAGAGTGACTTTGTAACTAACAAATAAAAAAAAACAAATTAAATAAATTAAATACAAAATTCAAAGAAGAAATATTTCTTTTTTGTTGTACAAGTTTAAATAGGCTCACTGCTATTTTAAATGAGAGTAGAAAATGATTATTAATAATAGCTTTTCTTTTGCCAAGAGGAATGTATTTTGTTCTACATTATATATGAAGAGAGAAATGTGATAAATAACAGGCTAGTTTTTTAAAAATTCCAACAGTTAGGAGTCCAAGTCTGAGAACGAGTTAGAAGAATGTAATAATATTTCTCTTTCAGGAAGCAGAAGTGTTTGTAACAAAAGAATACTGATATCTGGCAGCATTTATTACATTCATGCAGTCAGTGTCAGTTGTATATACTGAATTCTAAATTTCTCTGTCTTAAGTCTAAAACTTAGAACTCTGTTTACATATCTCCATACATTCTGAAATTCTAGAAATATAATAGTGATGACTTCACAGTAATGAGAAGAACTCAGCCACTCACATTAACATGCTTGTTCTCATTAGGGACTTAAGAGAAAATTATTGCCGAAATCCAGACGGGGCTGAGTCACCCTGGTGTTTTACCACTGATCCAAACAACCGAGTTGGCTACTGTTCCCAAATTCCAAAATGTGACGTGTCAAGTGGACAAGGTAATAGTTGACCTTTTGCAATATGGGCTTGATTCAGTTCTGGGGAAATGTCTTTGAGGACTCACGTAACATCAAAAGTTCTACTTCTTAATGCACTGGTGATGCTGATCAACAAACAAAATCACCATGTGTTACGTATTTTTTAAATGCACTTATTTGCTCAACATTTCTCTGTATATACAGTAGTTCCAGACACAGTTCTAGGCACTGGGGTTAAATCAATAAATACAAAAAGTCCTATGGAACTAATTTTCAGCAAACAGAACAGGAAAAACAAGCATGGTGTTAGCTGGAGCGATAGCACAGCGGGTAAGGCGTTAGCCTTGCACACAGCAAACCCGGGTTCAATTCCCATCATCCCATATGGACTCCTGAGCACTGCCAGGATTAATTCCTGAGTGCAGAGCCAGAAGTGAACCCTGTGCATTGCCAGGTGTGACCCAAGAAAAAAAAAGCAAGCATGGTGGTGAGAACACTCGTTTGTGGTAAGTGCTAGAAAGAAAAATGCACAGGGCGTAGGAGACTGACTATTGCTATTTTATATTTAAGTGGTTTGGGAAGATCTTACGTGGTATAAAGACACGTAACATGGTATGTAACATGGTATGAGGACATGTAACAAGTAAGGAGATAGCCTGTGTCATGTGCTTACATTTTAAAAGATCATTCTAGGAAGAAACTGAAAATGAAAAGGATATGAGGTGCGAGACTCCTTGAAAACTTGGAGAGACAGCATATATTTGTAATGGCACAGAGCAGTCAAGGGAGGTGGCAAGAAATGAAGTCAGAGAATAATTGGGCTATGTTGCAGTTCTACATTTAAAAAAACAAGCAAAAAACCAATAATAACAATAATAACAATGATAAAATACTTTTCCTGAGCCAGAGAATAGTATAAATAATTCCTATAGTATGGGAGTTATGGTGCTTACCTTACATTTGGCCCTCTGTGGTTGAATCTCTGGCACCACATAAAGTTCCTTGAGCACTGAGTCAGGAGTAAACTGTGAGTATCACTGATTATGACCCCAAACCCAAAACAAACTAAATCATTGTCCATTATTCTGAAGTGGTATCCCATATTTAAGAGGTGACTATTAAACACTCTTCATGTTAGATCAATGAAAATTGCGTTTGATTATAAAGTGTAAAAGCACATCAACTTTAAAAGTATTCTATTTAATTTATTTTTTGTTTTGGGAATTTTGAGGATCAGGAAGTGTTCAGGGGTATTCATGGCTTTGCTCAGTGGTGGAGGATCATATGTGGTGCTGGGGCCACTCAGACCAGCCACATGAAAGGCATGCACCTTACTCCCTGTACTATCTCCCCAGATATTTAATTTGTTAATGTATAGACTTAAATGAGTTGATCAGTAATAAAATGTTAACATTTAAAGTCTAAATTCTCATATTTTATTAGTTACTTTTTCTAAGAATATATTATAAAAAAACCTAATAAAACACGTCTAACAATATATTTCTAGAATTATCTATATATAAATAGATATATTATGTATCTATATATAAGACTCCACGCCAGACTGTTTTCACTCGGAGCACCCCAGAGGCGGCAGCCGAGAGCCCTCCCTTCCCCAAGGGACCCAGCCTCGGCAGCCGACCTCCACTACCCAACCCTTGCCACATTCCAGGCTGCTTCCCAGACCCTGTACAACACATCGTAAGACACTTCCTACCCATTTTCCAAGATTACCACACCATGTTTGATGGAGTTCAGACAGTAGGCAACGAATCATAGAAAAAAAAATATATATATATATATATGCCTCTCGGAGAGCCCAGCAAGCTACTGAGATATCCCACCGACACGGGCAGAACCTGGCAAGCTCTCCGTCTCTCCGTTGCGTACTTTATATGCCAAAACCAGTTACTATAAGAGGACTCATTCCCCTGACCCTGAAAGAGCCTCCAATTGTTGGGAAAGACGAGTAAGGAGAGGCTGCTAAAATATCAGGACTGGGACAGATAGAGATGTTATTGGCGTCCGCTTGAGTAAATCGATGAAGAACAAGATGACAGTGACAGTGATTATGTATAAATGTATAAGTATATTATGTATAAATATAGCACTGTCCTCCCGTTGTTCATCGATTTGCTCGAGCGGGCACCAGTAACATCTCTATTGGAAGACTTGTTATGGTTTTTGATATTTTGAGTACGTCACAGGTAGCTTGCCAGACTTTGCCGTGGGGGCAGAATGCTCTCAGTAGTTTGCTGGGCTCTTCAAGAGGGGCGGAGGAATCGAACCCAGGTCGGCCTCGTACAAGGCAAACGCCCTACTGACTGTGCTGTTGCTCTGGCCCATGTACAAATATATATTGTGTAAATCAGAAACTCATGTATCAGTTTATATATATTATGTATGATAAACAATATACATTTTATATATAATATATATATAATATAAAGCAGAAGCTTTTACAGCCATTGTTCTCATCTGCTCACACCCTTATAAATTAGCAGCAAATAGGAGGGCAAGACAGAAACAGAAGATCCAGCTGGTACCCAATCTCTTAATTACTGGTTTCAAATTTATTTCTAACTGACCTTTTAAATCTGCCAAAGAACAGTGAAACTGATTGAAAGGAGACTCTTCCCCTCTGTCCTCTATAACAGCATTCAGAATTGTTAATGAAAAATGGCTGTAATGAAAAGTTAAAATATGTAAATGCATTTACAAATTTAAAGTAGTGAAGCTTTAAGTTTCCCTAGTATTATTAGGATGATATAAGGTTGACTATTACCATGATCATCATGGTAAATTTATATGAAAGAGCATACTTATTCAAGAATTGTTACTTCCAGTTCATTATGCAAGAAATGTCTAAAGCCTATGATTACTATTAATCTTTAACAAATTATTTCTTTTTAAAACCTACTTCAAACTGACTTTCCTCTGCTTTATCCACAGCTGTTTTCTTCATTGATATCCATATTTCTAAGTACAAAAGTAATTTATTCCACCTTCCATCACTGTATTGCTAATATCCACATTCCTATCATTTTGCAATCGCACGTGAATTATTGAAAATCTAAGCTCTGTTTTGATCTTTGTCAGAAGTTCTGGTTATTTTCTAGACAGCAGCCAGAATAATCTGTAAAAATTTAAGTGATGTGGGGTTGGAGGAATCACTCATAGGACAGCATCACAGTGTGGGCCTGATAGTCCCTGCACCACTGCCCCACATAACAGCTTAACACTAATGGTGACTCCTGGGCTCCCAAGGAGCTCCAGGGTGCCCCTGCCAATTTACATCTCATGAATCAACTTATTTATCTTCTCACACGGGATCTCTATAACAGAGTTTTTTCTTTTGTTTTTGTTCGCTTTTTGTTTTGGTTGTTGGGTTTTTTTGTTTGCTTGTTTGTTTGTTTTTTTTTTGGGGGGGGAGCCACATCTGATAGTGTTCAGGGGTTACTTCGGGTTCTGAGCACAAGGGTCACTCATGGCTCAGGGAACATATGGGGTATCAGGGATTTAACTTGAGTTGGCTGCGTGCAAGGCAAGTGCCCTGGGCATGGTACTATCTCTCTGGCCCAGGTTTCTTCTCTTTCTGGATAACAGTCTATCCTGAACAGTTTAAACCCCTTCATTTTTCTACAAGTTCTATATAATTATAGCCCAATTATTCTCTGACCCCATCTCTGGCCAATATCTATCTTGACTGTTCTGTGCCAACAATAACTATGTGTTCTCTCTGTAATTTGTCAAGCAAATCCTATCCTTTTTATTTTCAGGTTTTTTTTCCTAGAATGCTCTGTAGAAACGTATGCACATGACATTGCCACGCTTTCATTTTTAAAACAAATATGACATCTTTAATCTGATGCATACATTTTCATCTGTGAAAAGAAAAAAATGGCTAAAAGTACACATTAATCTGACTTATCTTAATGTTTGACTTGCATGATGTCAGAGTGCTTTGATTAAATCTTTTTGTCAATATCAATATTCATGAATTCATATATTTGTAACATGAGCGATAGTACAATAGGTAGGACACATTCCTTGCATATGATTGACCTAGGTCAGCCTTGCATGTTCCTTACATTTTCCTTCTCCAGCACTCCATATGGCCCCCTGAATCATACCAGGAGTGATCCCTCAACTCATGAGCCAGGAACATAGCCATGAGCGTGGCTGGGTATGGTCAAAAAACAAAATTAAACAAATAAAAAAAAAAACTTTTGTTGTATGTTTTCCAGTATTTATTGTTCTTTTTTTGATATAATTTATGTTTAGATTGTTATCGTGGGAATGGCAAAAATTATATGGGCAATTTATCCAAAACACGATCTGGACTAACATGTTCAATGTGGAACAAGAACATGGAAGACTTACACAGGTGTGTAGATTTCTTTCTTTCAGTATAATTCTCTTATATATCATTGCAAGGTAAAAATTTCAATAAGTGATTCGATTTAGTATATTTTTACTCATATACTGTGGTAGGTACTACAGGGATTACCAACAAAAATTTGGCGTGTATTTTGATTCCACATTCAAGATTCCACACAAAAGAGATTATATGTACATAGAAAAAATTGACAATAATTTGAAAGATCATGTACATTAAGTGGTAAATATAGTATTTTAAGAGTTTCTGCTATATAGTGTATTTATAATTACTTACTACTTATTAATAGTAATTTATAAAATAAATATAATTATATACATACCTTAAATATTTACTTAACTATTGAAACATAAAATCATACTTTCTTATGTATCTTTATTATTGACATGTAAATTTTGTAAGAGAGTGAAACTGCATGCTGATTTTGAACACTGATTCATGAAAGAACTATGTATTCAAACTCTTGCTCAACTACTAAGTCATATGACCTTGAACAAATTAAGTTCTTCAAATTTTAGTTTTCTTAAAGAGCATAATCTGTCTCAGTAAATTGTGCATGAAGTAAATAGATAGGTTTGCTATTATTACTTGTTCAGAATATAAACTTGTGTTTGGAAAGATAGACCCAAAGGCTATTTATAAACTCTTGAAAATTAAATAAATGATACATTCTTTACATTCATGTATGGTAAGTAGCACTTAATAATTCAAAACAAATTCAGTTGGATGTATACTTTTTCTTTCTTTGTTCAGAATGTAAAATTTGACTTAATTTATGTCATTAAAGTAAATATCAATACTGAATGGACATGGTTATATTTTTCTTTATAATACAAGATGTAAAATGAGATTTTATGTAATATGTAAAATGTCTATCATGTATTAACTATTTTATGATTATATGCTCCATAATACGTTAGAATTCAGTTATTTTGCTGGCATATTATTAGTCCTCTTAGTATTTCTTCCTGAACTGTGACATAATGAGGAGGGTAGTGAATTGTTAAGCTTCTGAGATATGAAGAGGTACTTTTGCAGTAGCTTGTATCTTCTAGCATTTTTATAACCTTGATCTTCTTTGCTCTGTGTCCTTGTTTGTACAGTGTTTCTAATGTCTGTGCATAATAGTTTTGTTACCATAGTTCTGTATTTATTAAATATAACAAAGGAACAAAATAGCTTATCATTGCATCTCTGGTAAGTATGCAATCCACATCTCAGATTATTAGCTTAGAGGACATGTTCCTAAACTGTAAAAATTAAAAACAAATTAATTTCAAACAACATCACGAATATTCACACCAACTTGCAGCTTGTGTTTTATCTTCTATGAAAGTTATGCTTTAAGATTGTATCTTCTCAGTAGTATTTTGTTTCTCTTGGATGGAATGAGTATCTTGTGATGTTCAGAGCTTATTGTTTATGCAGACACATCTTCTGGGAACCAGATGCTAGTAAGCTGAATAAGAATTATTGCCGAAATCCTGATGATGATGCCCACGGTCCTTGGTGTTACACAGGGAATCCTCTCATTCCTTGGGATTATTGCCCTATTTCTCGTTGTAAGTATATTTAGTGTGAGTTTTTTGGTGACATGTGTTAAATATGCTGCATCTCTTTCCATTGGCAACTTTTTGAGAAGTGCAAATAATATAGGTGGGTTGAGCTACTTAGGACAGCAATACACATCCACACATATCATTTTATCTTTCTTCCTGACAAGGAAAAATTCTGCGTATGTTTAAAAATTCCCATTTGGAAGCCAGATGAAATAAATGACCATGATTCTAAAATTGTCCGAGCTAGAAAGACAGTAGCCTGTTACCAACTTATTACCTGTTCAGTCTCTGAATGTAACAGAGCTCTCTGTTGAGATCAATAAACAGACTTGAGATCATAGGGCTTCCATTTCCTTTTCACGTCTTTAGTTCAAGACTGTAAACTTGGAACTTTCTTCTCTGGGGGTGGGGAGGTAAGTTTTAGGTCACTCTTGGCATTGTTTGGGGAAGTAGGAGACCACATGTGGCACCACGGATCAAATCATGGTTGATTGCTTACAAACTAAGCAACTAACCCCCATAGTCACTCTCTAGTCCAAGAAGTCTGGCACATTCCACCCACCTCCCCGAGCTCAGGATGACATAGTTACAAAAATTTTACTGCAGTACAGTAAAAGATATGTATTATACATGTATGCCTGAAATACTTCGTTATAAATTAACTCATGTATTTAGAATATAAAACAATTATAAAGATAAATAAAAAGAGTCATCTAGAATATTAGATGACTAGTAAGATGTTTCAATAAAATAGAAACAACATTTAAACTTACTAATAAGATAAAAATGAGATCGTGGAAATAGAAGGAACCATTTTCACCTACTTGGTTGAGAAGAAGAAAATGATTATTTGTGGCAAATCTGATGAGGTCCTGAATAATTAGGCTCTTTCAATACAGTGCTACTTTTGAGTGTGAATTAGAAATCTGGTCTGGAAATAACTTCAGGAAATGAATCAGGGCTTTTCAGTCTTGGCAATCATAGAAGTCTGGCCTGGATAAATCTGGTTGGAGGAGTCTGTGCTGCGCATTGTACGGTGTTTACTGGTGTTCCTAACTCTATCCACTGCGTATTCCTCCAGTCACAACAGTCAACACACCTCCAGACATTGCCAAATATGAGTTGGACTCAAAATCACTTGCATCAAGTATCGAGAATAGTATAGTATATAATAACGTCTTGAAATGGAAGAATGTCATCAGAGTTCTTACAAAGATTTTCAATGGCAAGAGACCATTTTAATATACTATGTATCTCTTAACACTGTTTATAGAAAACATCTTTAAACACTATTTTATATAATATTTTTGTTTTAAGCTGGAGCGATAGGAAAGCGGGTAGGGCGTTTGCCTTGCATGTGGCTGACCTGGGTTTGATTCCTCTGCCCCTCTCAGAGAGCCCAGCAAGCTACCGAGAGTATCACACCCACACGCCAAAGCCTGGCAAGCTACCCATGATGTATTTGATATGCCAAAAATAGTAACAACAAGTCTCACAATTTGTTGTAAGACATTACTGGTGCCCGCTTGAGCAAATCAATAAACAATAGGAGGACTGTGCTACAGTTGTTTTAAGAGTTTTGTTTGAGAGGACAGAGTCATAGTGCAGTAGGGAAGGTGTTTGCTTTGTACCCGACTGACCTGGGTTTGATTCCTGGCGCTCCATATGTTCCCAGAGCACTGCTGGTTATAGCCTGTCCTCTTCCTCTCGCCCCTCAAGGAGCAAATATCAAAAGTAGAGTTTGACTTAAGATAGTTTTTCTGTGAGGGAAAATCACTAACAAATCCTTTAAAATAAGTTTTTAAAAGATCAACATAAAAAGGAATACTAAAACGGGCTGGAGAGAGAGTGAAGGAGGTAGGAGGGCACTTGCCTTGCATGCTACTAGCTGGGTTTGATTGCTGGCGCCCTATATAGTTCTCCAGGCCAACCAGGAGTGACCTCTGAGCGTAGAGCAGGGGATAAGTAAACTTGCGCATCTCAGATATAGTCCAGAAAACACACATAAAAAGTACAGAAATCACAGTAGGGGAATAACAATGCCAAAAGGCAATAGAAAATGAGAACTAGTCTTCAGTAGAAAGTTTACCACATAAGAAGGGGAGGGACTTTGGGACAGTGGTGGAGGGAAGCAGACACTTGTGCAGAGGGTAGGGTGCTGGAATGTCCTATGGAACCCTATTTAATATGTAAATCATCATGCCTAAAATTAAAAAAAAGAAGAAGAAAAAAAGATTACAGGGCCTTGCATGACGCCAACCATGATTTGATCCCTGCATCTTTCCGCCATGTTGCACATGGGCACTGCATTTTATTCTCCCAAGCACTGCCTTGAGACCATCTTGATAAAAGAGCCAGGACTAGCCACTGAAACCATGAGTGTCACCAGGAAAACACTCACTCACCTCAAATAGAGATTAAAATACTGTGTTTTAAAATATAAAACACAAACCCATATATTCCATAGTTTACATGAAATTAAAGAAATAAATTCTCAACAATAGCAGAAACACTAGTTCATTAAATTTTAACATAAAATAAAACTTCTCAGATATATTGATCAAGCATATTTGTTATTCATTTGAAACTTTCCTAATTTTAATCAAGAATTCTTTATAATAATAAATTTTTTATCTGTTTTCAGATAAGTTCCATTTCATATTATATTTCTTATTTAATTAGCTACAATCATACCATTTCAAAGTCATTAGCCTATTTTTCATGCCCATCTTATTCCCCGTGTTAGAATTGTGCAGGTCCTATACAAGCTCCTTCATGGAAGTTATCTTTCAAGTTTTAACACTCACTAAAACAAACAAGCAAACAAATCTAACTCTCTGGAAATGTAATGTTTTAAAAGTAACTAAAGGATTATTTTTATAAATACTGGTTTATTTCTCTATATCTTCATTTAACATTAAGAATAATGGAATATCATAGAATATAAAGTGATATAGAAAGATGGGAAAGAGGCAATTTGACTCTAGAACTGTTTATATTGTTGTACTGATAGAATTTTAGATTTGTAAAATCTGCAACTGGCTTTATTATAACTTAAAAAATATAGTTAAGAGCAAAACTCTTCCCTAGAATCCCAGAGAACTATGATTTAGTTTATATACCTAACTGACACACAGCTCTTATAATTTATAAGTTTTCAAAAAATATCTTCAACTAACATTTTAAAACTAAAAGTTAATAATGTGCTGTTGAAAGACTTTAAGGTGTTTCTAGTGTTTGATTAAATGCTATTGCAGATAACTCATTTCTTTCAATATATTCTGAACATTAATTTCAGTAAATATTTTTACTCTGTCATATTTGTAATGAATATTTATAGCCAGGATTTATTTACATTTTCCTCTTGATGAAAGCCTAATAAAATTTATCTTTAGAATATCAACATTTTAATTATTCAGCCACAGAGAATGTATATGTCATATTCACACTATACATTTATATTTTGAAAAATATATTTTTATTTTAAAAAGTAACTGCAAAATAATATTTAAGATGTTTCAAGATGATCACATATGCTAAAATGGAGAACTAGAAATACTATATTTTTTTTCTTATAAATACACAGCAGACCTTAGAACAATCTCAAGTATTAACTACTGGTATCAAAGTAGATAAAAGCTTCAAGTACAATGTCTTAGACAATAATTTCTGTTTATTATTTACAGTTCTTTTATTTATCCATTTGTGTATTTTTAATTGAAATGCTTTTATATTCAAAATCCTATAAAACATCCTATATATAAACAATGTTTTTAACCCTTAATTGGTCTCTAAAGAGAGCAATTTGAGCAATTACTCATATAATTTACAAATTATGAGTAATTTGTAAATGATAATTTAATATTTACAAAAAATTTTTCGATGGGAATGGGAACATAATGTTTGCTTGAAGATATAGGTGATGTTCATAAAGTTTTGACTTGCATTGAAACTAAGAATTCACATATATAGGGGATGAAGAGATAATATGTGGGCTAAGGTACATGCCTACATGTACATGTGACCAGGTATTGTTGGGTTCAGTTCTGAAGCCACTGAACACTACTGGCATACTGGAAATTAGCAACTTAGGAAACTCCATCTAACAATAAAGAATATATAACGTTTGTTTTCATATCATGGTGTGTATACCTAAGAAAGTAAAGTAAAGGCCCTCCCGTTGTTCATCGATTTGCTCAAGCGGGCCCAGTAACGTCTCCATTGGAGATTTTGTTGTTACTGTGTTTGGCATATCGAATATGTCACGGGGAGCTTGCCAGGCTCTGCCGTGCGGGCGAGATACTCTTGGTAGCTTGCTGGGCTCTCCGAGAGGGGCGGAGGAATCAAACTCGGGTCGGCCATGTTGGCTGCGTGCAAGGCAAGCGCCCTACCGCTGTGCTATCACTCCAGCCCAGTGTATACCTATTGATATTATTATTATTATTATTATGGTTTTGGTCTACACTCTGTTGCTCTCAGTTTTTACTGCTGGTTTTATGCTCATGGATCACTTCTGGTTGAGTTTTGGAGGTCATATGTGGTCATTCAAGGGTTGAATCTGGATCAGTTGAGTGCAAGGCAAGCATCACCTTACACCTTACTTGCTAAACTAGCTCTCTGGCCTCAGCTATACTATTTTCTTGAGATGCTCATGGGCTATCCCATTCTTTGCTAATTGGGAGGGTCACTTTCATTTTCAACATTGCTTGCAAGACAATGTGGCACTGATTATCAAACCTGGGCCTCCTGCATGCAAAGTGTTTGCTCCAATTCTTTGCATCATCTTCCTGGCCCCCACGAATAAGTTTTTTTGAAATATGTACTTGTTTTTAGTGAGAGTTCATATTTTTTCCTGAGGGTACATAAACATACATGCATCAAATGACAAGTGTTTGTCATAAGTAAAACTTTTGTGATTGACATATTTTCTGTCTCTATATGTTGAAGCAATATGGAGTATTATTTGTATTGTCTGTGTTTTTTTTCCTTACTTTAATACTGTTTTAAATATAGTGCAAAGGAAGCTGTAAGTGAGACTGGCATTTAAGGGTCAAATAGAGAAGGCTTAGACACATAGTTTCGTGCCATACTGCCAAAAAGTTAAATTAAAAAGCATGTTACAGAAGAACTTGGAATCACTTTTTTAAAAAAATCATAACCTATCTACTAAACCAGAATCTTCAATCCTTTAGGTATCTGATTTTGAACTCATATTAAAATGCAAAGTAGAATTGTTCACAGGAAACTAATGCATTAGGTATTTATTATCAAAACCTCAAATTCAGATTCTGTATGCACATTCAAATATTAAAATATTTCATTGAGGAATGATAAGGAAATAAGTCTTAGTTATCTATTTACTTGATACTCATAAGTAGTTTATTACTATGCAATTACATTGCCAGAAACATTATTGTTACAGAAACATAAGGAATAAATATCTAGAGCTGATTTTTGTATTTTGGGCTTTTTTGTAGAAATTTTAAGTAATTGACTTGTGTGATAAAATCTTGATGTTTTAATGACCACAATTATCATCAAAGTCCAATGAACTAAAATGTTGGTTTCAGCTCATTTTAAGAAAAAAGTCTCTTCCCAAAGAAGCTAAAGGAAAAGGAAAAAGATGAAATTTATGTTTGTCTTTACCCTATTCATTTAAAATACCTGGACCAGGAAAATGAGCATAAATAAAATCACTGTAGCATGTATTAAATCTCTTGCTATTTCTCATAAAATGTATCAAATATGTCTTGAAACAAAGGAATCCATAGCCATTATTATTTTGTTGCTGCTTCGAGTTCTGGGCATCTCTGGGATCAACAACCAGTTCGATCTGTCTGGTTTCTGACTAAATTCTATGCCATCAATTTTGAATTGTCAGACATTAAATTCCAGGAAAGATCTTTTGCCTCATTCACTATTGGATCTAAGTATTTTCAAATCCTCACATCTTTTGACTCTTTCTTTTTAGTAAATTAAACCCCAGACGGGAGGTTATGAAAACGATTAGGTTATGAAATTTCAGTGTTCTCTTTTCCCCATAGTTTTTGAACTACCATATAAAAAAGCCAATCTCTGGAATATTCTAAGAAAACATGGCTATACTTTGTTATTTCACATTCCACGGATAATATTGATTTCTATCTTTATTATTCCTGATGAATTCCTGGAGGGAGTATGATATTTTGGTTATCCTCAGCAATTAAATATGAAACTAAATTTGATGAAAAATAAAAGTAGTCCATGTTGTAGTTTAAGGAAAAGTATCTGTGTGAATATTCTGCAAATAATAATAAGCATTTTGTGATACTGAGTGAAGTAATCATGATTTCTAACATTGAGCATCTTGAGCCAGCTCTGTAATGCCAGCTGAATAACTCAAGCCAATACCCATCAAAGAATACCATGAGTGTACTTTGCCTGCAGAGTTGTGAAAAGACTTTTCTCAGATCATCCATTATCAGTTGGTATAAACTTTTAACATTGTCCAGTAAGAGTAGCACTGTAGCACTGTCCTCCCCTTGTTCATGGATTTGCTCGAGCGGGCACCAATAATGTCTTCATTGTGAGACTTGTTGTTATTTTTTTGAATATGCCATGGAGAGCTTGCCAGGCTCTGCCGTTTGGGCAGATACTCTCCATAGCTTGCCAGGCTCTCTGTGAGGGATGGAGGAATCAAACCCAGGTTGGCTGCGTGCAAAGCAAACACCCTACCTGCTGTGCTATTGCTCCAGCCCGTCCAGTAAGAGTGAGACATATTTTTCAAAGAAATACTATTTTATTTTATCATTTAATAAGATATCAATACTTTACAAAAATTATAAAATTCATGCATATTTAAATTTCAGCATACAGATTTTATTCTATATAAAAGAAATTTATGTGATTGAATTTATATATATTTATTTTGCAGGTGAAGGTGATACCACACCTACAATAGTCAACTTAGACCGTAAGTATTCTTTCAAAATTTAAAATATATATGAATCTGTATGTGTCTGAAATGATGCTGTTATTTAATTCATGACAAAATATGTTATTGTGAATATTAATTCCCACCCATCATTAAAATATATTAATTATAATTATCTTTGCCTACATATATATGTAAAGGTGTTTGAAGGCAACTGCATACTGGACATCAAAATTGAAGTCTTGATCAGAAAAATAAATACGCCCATATTTGATTTTGGAAAAGACATCTATATTTCTTTTAAATTTGTCCAAGTGAGACTTCTCTACCCCTTAAATTAAATCGGGGAAGCTAAGTCAGAAAGCATAAAGCCAGATTGTTGTAAAGTTATATGGCATTTCTATCCTGCACTGTCTTTAAGACTTTTTGCAAAAATGACACAATTTGAGAGGTTCAGTTAATCCTCAACTCCAGAAAGTCTTTTGGGAACTACTTATATTTGATTTTCACATATTTCTTTTTTTTTTTAATTTTATGTAGAAGTACTGCTATTTATTCAGCCACTGATTAGCTGATTGAATAGGGCGTGAACTCCACCTTACTTTTTTTTTCATTTTTTATAATTTTATTTATTGAATCACCGTGAGAGCAGTTACAAAGATTTTGGGTTTAAGTCATGATCATACAATGAAACACCCGTACCTCCACCAGTGCCCATTCTCCACCACCAAAAAATCCAGTGTACCCCCATCCCATACCCTCCCCCTACCTGTGGGGCAGATGATTTCCACATTACTCTCTCTACTTTGATCAAATTCATTATTTTGACACCAGACTCACCATTATTATTTGGGATTTTGCCCCAACACTCATATCTGCTGAAAAGGCAGCAGTAGACAATTTATTTTCTATTGCTGGTTAAGAATAACATATGATGTTGCGTGGCTGCAGTAGTGGCAGCGTGATTTTGAAATTCTGAAATTTTAACACTTAAATCTTGAGGGATTTCTGCCAAAACCTGCTGGGTTCTGAGATTTGTTCCTGAGTCTCTGGGATCATGGCCTTTAAGCAGCTTGATAAGGAGCCAGAAAGGCCATTCTTGGGCGGTGACTTGGGGTCTCATTGGGACGGGGAGGAAAGGGTCAGCTCCACCCCCATCCCATGAGGCCCTGCTTGTCTCATCACTGAGGGCCCAAACCTGACTGTCCAATGGCTTCTGGAGGATGGCGGCCACTGACCCGCCTGGGGGAGCAGGCGGAGGGACAACACCCTTTCTTCCCTGGGGTGGCCTGGCTACAGTAACCTACTGCAGGGTCTGCATGCATTTCTGCCAAAAGCCACTTGGTTCTGAGATTTGTTTCTGAATCTCTTGGATCATGGCCATTAAGCAGCTTGATCAGGAGCCAGAGAGGCCGTTCATAGGTAATGACTGGGGGGTCTTGTTGGGGTGGGGAGGAAAGGGCCGGCTCCACCCCCATCCCATGAGGCCCAACGTGTTTCGTCACTGAGGGCCCAAACCTGATTGTCCAATGGCCTCTGGAGGATGACAGCCACCGAGTGGTCTAGGGGGAGCAGGCGAAGGAACAGCACCCTTTTCCCCCTGGGGTGGCCTGGCGATAGTAACCTACTGTGAGTCCGGACACATTTCTGCCAAAAGCCACTGGGTTCTGAGATTTGTTTCTGAGTCTCTGGAATCATGGCCGTAAGCAGCTTGATCAGGGTCCAGAGAGGCTGTTCGTGGGCAGTGACTCTGGATCTCACTGGGCTGGGGAGGAAAGGGCCGGCTCCACCCCCATCCCATGAGGCCCTGCGTGTCTTGTCACTGCAGGCCCAGACTATCCAGTGGCCTCTGGAGGATGGCGGCTACCGGGCCACCAGGGGAAACAGGCCAAGGCACGAAACCTATTCCCACCTGGGTTGACCCAGCGCCGGTAATCTACTGCAGGGACCAGACGCATCGCTGCCAAATGCCATTGGGTTTAGAAATTTGTTTCTGAGTCTCTGGGATCTTGGCCATTAAATGGCTTGATCAGGAGCCAGAGAGGCTGTTCATGGGTGGCGACTCGGGGTCTTGTTGAGATGGGGAGGAAAGGACCAGCTTCATCCCATGAGGCCCCATGTGTCTCATCACTGCGGGCCCAAACCTGACTGTCTAATGGCCTCTGGTGGATGGTGGTCACTGAGCCGCCAAGGGGGAGCAGGCGGAGGGACAGCACCCTATTCCCCCTGGGGTGGCCTGGTGACAGTAACCTACTGCTTGGTCCGGGCGCATTTCTGCCAAAAGCGACTGGGTTTCAAGATTTGTTTCTGAGTCTCTTTAATCATGGCCATTAAGCAGCTTGATCGGGAGCCAGAGAGGCCGTTCGTGGACGGCGACTCGGGGTCTCGTTGGGGTGGGGAAGAAAGGGCCGCCTCCACCCTCATTCCGTGAGGTCCCGCATGTCTCATCACTGTGGACCCAAACCTGACTGCCCAGTGGCCTCTGGAGGATGGCAGTCACCGGGCCGCCAGGGGGGACAGGCCAAGGCATGTAACCTATTCCCACCTGGAGTGGCCCAGCACCAGTAACCTACTGCAGAAACAGGACGCATTTCTGCCAACAGCCTTTTTGTTCGTTTCTGAGTCTCTGGGATCATGGCCGTTAAGTAGTTCAATCAGGAACCAGAGAGGCCATGTCTCCAATTACATAGATGAGCCGGAGGTGGTTTGTGGGTGTATCTCCCAAATACCTAACTTTTGGCCATCTACTTTCTTGGTAAACTTTGCCCCAAGTTTTTCGTGTCTGGCCAAAGGCACAGCAGCAATTTTGAGGTATGTGGAAGTCTGAATGCGCCATCAGGCTGCTGATGCACTTGCCTCACAGGTACATATTGACCTGCTTGCTGCACCATACCCCCTTCATGTATTTCTTAAGCTTAAGGAAGTTACTCAACTTTTGATTTAAGAGACCACCTGCCATGTCCCAATTGAGGAAGCAAATGGAAAACTATTCTAGACCATGGATGGGGACATAAAGGATAAGGAAAGGAACACAGAAAAAATTTATTCCAAAGAATTCTATACTGTGTCCTCTGGGCATAATTATTTTGACAAAATAATGACATCATTTGGATGCATTTTCTATATTTCTCTCTGTGTGTGAGTGTGTGTGTGTTTGTAATATTGGTATGGTGTCAAAAATAGCTCTTCAGTCATAGATACAAATTGATAAGTAAAAAACAAATAACTTTTTTTAACACAGTATTTTGTTTTTCATTGATATTTAGAAATTATAGCTATGCATAACATTTTTTACTTTATATTGTTGTTATTGAGTGAGAATTAACATAAGGTCTGTAGGATGTGTACTTAGTGTTTAGTGAGCAAAGACAATACCACTATCATGTTAATACATTATCTTTAAACTCATTGGGGTTTTTAATATTAATTTCTTTAATTAGATGTGGATTACAGTGTTTGGAGACTAATTTAGCCTTGAAGTCCTAATATTTATTTTTTACCCACCAAATGTTCTTTTTTGTTTTGTTTTGGGGGTTTCAACTTGGCAGTGCTCAAGGCTCTGTGCTCAGGGATCACTCCTGATGGGGTTTGGGGAACAATATACAGCACAAGAGATTGAATCTAGGCCTGCCATAATTGTACTATCTCCAGTCCCAGCCCCCAAAATGTTCTTCTGGTACAATGAAATTAGTTACATTTGTGTAATAATCCATTGTTCTTAAGTAAGCTAAGAGTCACTGATTATCTAAAAATAATTTGTCAAAATGTTGCATTTGGTTCTCTGTTAGATCCTGTGATATCTTGTGCCAAGACAAAACAATTGCGTGTTGTAAATGGAATTCCAACGCGAACAAATGTAGGATGGATGGTTAGTTTGAAATACAGGTAATTATTAATGCATGAAAATGATTTGGATTATTAGCAAAAGTATATTCTCAGAATTATGATAATGTGTGGTCAGTGGGTTATGATCTTGGCCCAAACACTTCTCTGAGGGAATCACAACTTTGCTTGCTAAAGTGTACACCTGTATTTTGCAAATTGTACCTTGAGAAAAATCTTTTTTTAATGTTCACAAAAGTCCCTTATGTGCTGATTGTTCCTAATTACATGTGACACTCTATTTTGATTAAGAAAAAGACAACTGTACTTCTTATACCTTAAAATCACTATTGATGTTTAAACACACTTGTTTTTAATTTCCCAAACCAAAATATTAAGAGCTTATTTTCTAATATGGCTATATATAATCATATCAGCATTTTATACTTGCTCTTAATTTCTGACTTCCTCCATTGCCATTCTAATGAAAAATAGCAAAAATTTATATTGTAGAACACATTCTCATTAATAAAAAGTAAACAAATTGACACTATAGTTTAATAGCCTTGCAACTTTCCACTTAGCTATTTATTGTGAATAAAAAATTTCTTGCCAGTGCTGGAGATACAGTAGTTTGTCCTCTCAGCCCTAACACCAGCTTGCTTTATGTGCAGCCAACCATGATTCTTTCCCAGCAATGCATACTTCCTGAGCAGAACTGGGGGCAGTCCTAACACATAGAGCCTGGTGTAGACCTCAGCACTTCTATTTCTGAATGACCTCAGAAAAATGAGATGTTTTGTGTAAAAGCATTTTGAAAAATATGTTACTGAAAAATTAAGTTTAGCAGCTCTAAGAATTACCTCTTGACTAAGTCTTAAATTTGTTGTACTATTATTATAGTAAAGTAAAAGGCCCTTCCGTTGATCATCGATTTGCTCGAGCGGGCCCAGTAACGTCTCCATTGGAGACTTTGTTGTTACTGTGTCTGGCATATAGAATACATCACGGGTAGCTTGCCAGGCTCTGCCGTGTGGGTGAGATACTTTCAGTAGCTTGCTGGGCTCTCCGAGAGGGGCGGAGGAAACAAACTCTGGTCGGCCATGTGGGCTGCGTGCAAGGCAAACGCCCTACCCGCTGTGCTATCGCTCCAGCCCTTACTATTATTATTATATTAAAAATATGTTTGTTGATCTTTGTATCTATTGGAAATAGAAATATCTCTTCACCAAGAAACACTGGCCTAAATGCACCTGAGATTTAGTATATTTGTTCTTGTTTTCTAAAAACTGTTTCTTCCTATCTATACTTTTATACTGTTATGCCCACTGCACTCTGTGGCTTTCTTCCTCCATATTTTATGCCTGGAAAATCATTTCTGTTCTTCAGGTAGCAAAACAATGTCTTCTGTTTTGAATTTTTCTCTCTTCCTTTGAGTCTAACCTCTTTCAGAGGAGAGAAAGAAAGTATCTATTTCTTCTAAGTCTCTATCTTAAAGAAGCAGGTGAAATAGTTGTTCACCAGAGTACTCTAAACTTTCAGAAAAAAAAAAAAACTTTAAGTTCTTAGCAACAACAGCTGTTTATTCTTCCAAAACACATACCAAGAAGAATAAGAATTAAAACTTATTATTTACTCTTATCCTCTTGTGTGGTACAGGTCATAAATAAGTGTGGTCTTAGTCTGGGAATCTTCTATTACCCTCTGCGACACTGAACATCTGCAATCTCTGGAAATGTAAATTATAAGGAGTTATACTTTTTTTTATGTCTCTGCCAAAAATAATGGATTTACAGAATTTGGATATTGTCAAATAAGTGTACTAGTATGTATTTTCTGCACACATGTTTTATCATTTACTAGTTGGCTAGTAAAGTTTTGGTTCTATAAGTGAAATATTATATTGTTGGTCATATGCTGAGCGATTAAGATTATTTAATCTCAGTTATTTTCTAAGACTTCTAAGTTATCAGAATAAAATAATGACATGAAAGAAAGGAATAGTATGTAAATATACAGTATCAAAGGTCACATTTTCATTTTCTCATAATCAAACACTGAATTTAAATTAGGGCTAATTGTTTTTGTTGTATGGTGGGTTTTTTGTTCATTCTCATTATCCTATATATACATATATATGCCCTAAATTTTTTTAACTTATTAAAGAGCTATATTGACAAAGTTACTGATAGTTGCATTTTAGACATAAAATAAATCAACATCAATCCCTCCACCAGTGTCACTTTCCCTTCATCAGTTTTTTCAGATTCCCTCCCTTCCCCAGTCCCCACTCTGCACATTACAAAGTTTCAGTATCTGCCGTTTAGGGCTCCTGTTTTCAAGTTTTGTTGAATCTGTGTTCTGGGTGTATGGCTATACCCCACACTCAGATCACTGGTATAACTAAGTATTGATGCTTGTTAACCCATTACTTCTTGTACTCTTCTACCCCCCCCCCCCCCACTTGATTTATTTTATTATCCTGTATTTTTAACACATGTTTTTCTCACAAGAATGGATGTACATGTAACCCTGCCTGAAGGTACTAGATCTCTGTGGGTAGTAACTGGGAATAATACAAAACTAATGTTGATTTCATAAAATTGTAATTGTATTATTTAAAAATTAAGGCTATAATCATGAAATGTCATTTTTCTAAAAGGACTTCCCATTTCATTCATTTGGGTTTATTGCTACAGTTTCTTCTCAGATACTTTGATGTCTAATAAATAGAGGCATAGGTTTGCGCTAATTGGAAAGCTCCATTTCTGCACAGATGGTACTTGTTTCTCTTTCCTCTTTCTCACAGAAATAAACATATCTGTGGAGGATCATTGATAAAGGAAAGTTGGATTCTTACTGCAAGACAATGTTTCCCTTCTCGGTAAAGTATTTTTGAAACCATTATTTTTAGCCTTAAAAATATGTATGGGTTTCACTTAGCTTTTAGGCTTAGAATACGTCTTGATTTAACAGTGATTTACTAGTTGTGGGTAAAAAAAAAAAGTACATTTTTAGACTTAGCTTGCAAAAATTATTTTGACTCCATTGTTATTTATTAACTGGAATGAATTTTCTTACTTAGAGGAAAGAGTTGAAAATACTATTCAAGTGTTCTTTGCCCCCACCTCTCACTTACACTCTATTTCTAAAAAAAAATTTCTACCAAAAAATATTTTTGTATTGTCAACAAACTTAATTTTTTCTTCTTGTGCAGAACCAACCTCAAAATTATCCTGATAATAATTTTCAATGACAATCAATCTATGGAAAAATAAGTAGAAAGCATTTATAATCTTCCTAATTTTCTATGATTTTTTTAATATTTAATTTTTACTAGTGAAACACCATGAGGTACAGTTGTAGACTTACAAATTTTTGTGCTTGGCTTTCAGTTATACAATAATCAAATACCCATCCTTCCACCAGTGCCCATTTTCCACCATCACGGGTCCCAGTATCCATCCCACCCCCCATCTCCTCCATCCCACCCTGCCTCTGTGGCAGGGCATTCCCTTTTGTTCTCTCTCTCCTTTGGGTTGTTGTGGTTTCCAAAAGAGGCATTGAGTGGCAATCATGTTTGGTCTATAGTCTACTTACAGCATGCTTCTCCCATGCTGATTTTTAAGTATAAATCTTCATGCTCTCACTTAAGAAACCAAACACATAGCTGAGATAAAATGGAAATCTCTAGTAAAATTCCATTTGTATGTTTGACCTGTGATTTTTTTTCAGAAAAGACTTATTGCCTAACGAGCACAATGAACAGATCTTTTTAAGAACCATTTAGAGTTTTAGCAATTAAAAAATGTTTTGTAAATGTTTTTGGTTTTTAGGCCACACATGAAGCTGCTCAGATGCTATTCCCAGCACGCTGCTGGAGGCAGGAGTACGGAATGATTATTTGATGCAGTGACTGGGTGGGGACCATGTGGACTAGGTATCTAGACCAGGGCTCTAGTAGTACTGTAGCACTGTCCTCATGTTGTTCATCGACTTGCTCGAGCGGGCACCAGTAACGTCTCCTTTGTGAGACTTGTTGTTACTGTTTTTGGCATATCGAATACGCCACGGGTAGCTTGCCAGGTTCTGTTGTGTGGGCAGGATACTCTCGGTAGCTTGCCGGGCTCTCTGAGAGGGAAGGAGGAATCAAACCAAGGTTGGCCACCTGCAAGACAAATGCCCTACCCGCTGTGCTATCACTCCGGCCCAGTCTCTAGTATCTACTGTTTGTGCATTAGCCCTCTGACTCATCTCCAAGCCCATTCTATCCATGCAAGAGTACTTTCAGTTACCTATGTGATTAGCATTCAGGACTTTCCATACTGTTGCTCTTTATTACATTTTAAATTACATTTTATATTTTGGTTATTTATCTGCCTTTATAAACTCAAATAACTATATATATGTACATATATATGTACATATATATGTACATATATACATATATATGTGAACTGCATTACACAATTACAAATCACATTCTGTGTTCATTCTTAGAAATAAAGACCTGAAAGATTACGAAGCATGGCTTGGAATTCATGATGTCCATGGAAGAGGAGATGAAAAAAGAAAACAGGTTCTAAACGTTTCCCAGATGGTATATGGGCCTGAAGGATCAGATCTGGTTTTACTGAAGCTTGCTAGGTTAGTTCCTTTCTACAAGATTTTTATTTAAATTAGATAGTTGAAGCATTACCTTCAGCCAGGTGGCTATTCTTCCTCATGTAAATGCACTGCAAAAATAGGTCACGTGTCCTATGTATGTATGTATACATTTCTTACATGCAGATTTGCACACACACTGAGGTATTTTCAAATATTCAAAAATGAAAAAATGAAGTTAGACTAGCAGTCTAATTAACCTGTTTTAAAATAAAAACTTAATGAGAAAATTTTTGTTGTATTTAACAGGTAAAAACCATTTAAAAAACAACTTAACTACTTGTTCTTATATATTAAAGAATAAGTTACTCATTTCTTCACTGCCTATTTCAGATGTTTGCATTATTGACTATATATTGGACTTTGTAGTGTTTATCTAGAATAGTCAAGTTTATGGAGAAGAATAGAATTGGATATAGGCAAGCAATGTAGTTTATGTATATGCTGATATTTTTTATTTATTTATTTATTTATTTATTTATTGAATCACTGTGGGAAAGGTTACAAAGCTTTCAGATTTAGGTCTCAGTCATGCAAATATCAAACACATTTCCCTTTACCAGTACTTATTTTTTACCATGAAGAACCCCAATGAAACCACACTCCCCACCCCTCCCAGTCCCTGTGAGGTAGATGAATTCTAGTTAACACTCTATCTGCTTTGATTAGATTCATTGTTTCAATAAAAGATTCACCACTATTATTTAGAGTTTACCTCCCCCCCCCCAAATCAGACATGCTGAAAAAGCATTGTGAAGTGATTAGCTTTCTACACCTGGGTTCAAGAAGTAAATGTTGGTTTTGGATTTCTGCTATTTTACCTATTGACCCTGGAAGTATTTCTACTGAAAGTCAGATAGTTAAGAAATTGGTTTCTGTGTTCTGGAGTCGTGGCCGTGCTGGAGAACTGCTCTTGGGGGGCAACTGGTGGCCTCGGTAGGGCGTGAAGAGCGGATGGAAACGCCCCCCTTCCCATGAGGTTTTAGTCGCCCCCACACCCCCGGCTCATACCTGCTGTCCACAAGGCTCCCATGCGGCCGCCATCTTTCTTTCCAGAGAGGAGAGGGCGAATGGGGCAACACCCTTTCCCCTCCGGGCAGACTTGATGGCCTGGATTAACGCATAGTCCGTTCACTTTTCTGCTCCAAGCTGCCGGGTTCTGCATTAAGTCCTTGTGCTTCTGGGGCCGTGGCTGTGCTGGAGAGCCGCTCGCGGGGGGCAACTGGTGACCTCGGTAGGGCGTGAAGGACGGACCGGAACGTCCCCCGACCTATGAGGTTTTAGTCGCCCCCACACCACCGGCTCATACCTGCTGTCCACAAGGCTCCCATGTGGCCGCCATCTTTCTTTCCAGAGGGAGGAGGGCGGAAGGGAGCAACACCCTTTCCCCTCCGGGCAGACATGATGGCCTGGATTAACGCATAGTCCTTTCACTTTTCTGCTCCAAGCTGCTGGGTTCTGCATTAAGTCCTTGTGCTTCTGGGGCTGTGGCCGTGCTGGAGAGCCGCTCGTGGGGGCAACTGGTGACCTCGGTAGGGCGTGAAGGACGGACTGGAACGCCCCCCTTCCCATGAGGTTTTAGTCGTCCCCACACCCCCAGCTCATACCTGCTGTCCACAAGGCTCCCATGTGGTCGCCATCTTTCTTTCCAGAGAAGAGAGGGCGAATGGGACAACACCCTTTCCTCTCTGGGCAGACATGATGGCCTGGATTAACGCATAGTCCATTCACTTTTCTGCTCCAAGCTGCTGGGTTCTGCATTAAGTCCTTGTGCTTCTGGGGCTGTGGCCGTGCTCCAAACTTAACTCTGATTTTCAGGGAGAAAGATTGGGTGGTTTACTTCCCATTGATCACTTTGTATATAGAGAGATGTCGCAGGGCCGCATAAGCGGCCGCGTGGTTTTGAGAAAAAGTTCTAGTTCCCGCATACTCGAGCTGTGCTTGTAGAGGCTTCTGGTCACCGGGGTTCCATCTGGGGGAGGCGGGATGCGGTACCTACCCCATCTGGGACTTGCCGGTGATCTCGGCTCTTTTTGGAACCTGTTTTTTTTTTTTTCCTCCGGGATCTGTGGTTCCTGCCCTCCATGTGGTCCTTCTCTTAGGCTGTATGTTGTAAAGATGGCGCTGGGGGGCGGGCTGTCTATGCTGATATTTTTTGAGTGCAACTGAAACATTGTAGTGTCATATTAATAGAATCTTTTTTATTTTTAAATTTTTATTAAAGAGTCATGACTTACAGTTACTGATAACTGTTTCAAGCATACCAGTTGAACACTAATCCCTCTACCAGTGTCAATCTCCCTCCACCAGTATTTCCAGTAAAACCTTAATTTTAATAACTGTTTATTCTGTGTATATAATATTAAATATTAACACTATCTCATAGTATGTTCACTTGAATACAATAAAATTTTATTGTATACAGTGTTTCCAAAGTTTGTAATACTTCCTTGGGACAAGAGGATGGGCGGGTAAGATGCTGAATGGTAGTGGCGGATTGTATGAAACTAGAAGGATTCAGAGGCTTTATTCTAGCCTCATATGGGGAAAGGCGGGTGGAGAGGGCATTTTCTGTCTATTTCTTAAAGAAGTTAGAGTCCTAGGGGGTCCTTAGTAATTTTGTTTTTGAAATGAGAATGATAGGCCAAATCAGTTTGGAAACCTCTGCAATAAAGGGTGCTTATCATAATGGTTTCTCTTTGCAGGCCTGCAATCCTGGATGATTTTGTTAGTACCATTGATTTACCTAATTATGGATGCACAATTCCTGAAAAAACTACTTGCAGTGTTTATGGCTGGGGCTACACTGGATGTAAGCAATTTTTACAAAGCCATAGCAGCATTATGTTTATTTTATAAAGACAATTTTTGCTTATTGTTTTTCTTCCCGTACAACATGGTAATAACTTTCACTACATTTTTCACCATTCTAGTGATCAACAGTGATGGTTTACTACGAGTAGCACATCTCTCTATTATGGGCAATGAGAAATGTAGCCAGTATCATCAAGGGAAGGTGACTCTGAATGAATCTGAAATATGTGCTGGGGCTGAAAATATTGTATCAGGACCATGTGAGGTAAAAAAAAGTTTTAAAAATAAGGAGTATGTGATAGATAACAGTTTCTCATATATACCATTTTGTTCTTACAGAGATGAATTAGAGAATAATCCTATATTCATTGTAGATTTCTTTTAATAAGAAGTGACACAGCCTGTTTCATTAGCAGCGAACTATGACATTCTTCTCTCTCTAAAAACAAAAAGGAAAACTATTCCATATATACAACCACAAATGTAATGAAAAGCTATTCAAATAGAAATATCTAAAATGCCATTTAATAAAATAACTGGCATTTTTCTAGATGTATCTCATCTTCCAAAATTCTGTCTAAATGAATATACTTTATTAATAATATTGTTTTCAGATTATGTGCTAGTGGTTAAGCCAGAACATGCCATGCATGCATGTGTCCTCTGTGTGTGTGTGTGTTTGTGTGTGTGTATGTGTAAACAAATTCTATCTGCAAAATTTAAAAGGTCAAAGTTTGTGACTTTTAAAGCTTGAATGTTTTCATTTCTTAGACAACTATAGTTTCAACTTGGCAAAATTCCTATTTCTGTTTTACACAGACAAGCTGTTCAAGTTATTTCAGAGGTATTTTGAATAAAAGAGACGTGGTCTCGAAGCCTGGGAACTGTGGTTTGGTAGATCATATGTTTAGCAAATATAGAATAGTACAATTATAGTGAAATGTCTTTTATCATGTTAGGGAATATCCTAAGTATGGAACATAATGTTTATTGAAATACATGTTTTATACAGAAATAGCAGATATTGTTCTGAAATCTTTATTCCTAAAATGAAAAATAATACCAAGTGAAAAAATTTTAGAACTGCTTTAAAATTATAATCAGTAATAGGTTGTATGTTTATAACTACTTACAAAATTGGTGTTTCTAGTAAATCAACATTACTGTGTTTATTATTATATAATATTATATTATTATACCAAGAAGAAAGTTTTGATTGCTTATTTTTGTTTATTCTTTCATTTATTTTGTTTATGTCTCAAGAGTTCTTTAAACACAATGTCTTGAGGAAAATCTAATCTTTAAAGGTCATTTAAGAAGCATTGCACTTATCCTTGCTTTACTACCATTACTAAAAATTCTTTTACAACTGCTCTTTAGGAGTAGCCTATAATCTAGTTTATGGTACAGACATTTTAACTTAATGTTAATGTTGTCTTCATTACATTGTCATATGCTTGTTATCTTTATCTTTCTTGACAAGACTGCAACTTGATTCTGCCACTTCTCAAAAATGCAGTCCTCCCTCCTCCAGAATGTTTTTTTTTTTAACACCACTGATATTTAAAACAGGGTGCTTTAACCTCTGAAACCATTAGTATTTAATCATTTTTTTAATCTCTCAAATGTTTGTTTAATAAAGATGACATCCCAATTAAAATACCTTATATTACTAATTATTGGTCAAAATCATATTGAGGATAGGGGAGTTAAGGCACTTAGCTTGCTTGTGGCTAACACTGGGTATCCCCTACACCACATGGTCCCTGAACACCCCCGGAGTGGCCAACAGGAAGATCTGGAAGTTGCCTCTGATCAGTACTGGGTGTGGCTCCACTGATCTCCTTTCCTTACCCTCACCCCAGTTAACTTAATTAACTCAGAAGTCACAGTTAGTATAAAGTCTGTTAGAATAAACCACATTTCCTTCTTATTTAACCTTCTGCTTCACTCCCATCTTGGTTTCCCTCATCAAGAATGTTGTTAGCACTTTTCTTTCCATGGGCATCACAGAGTAAAATCTTGCAGAAGTTTATTTTTATCTCATCTAGTCACACTGAGAATAGTTCAAAATACTCATCTTCATACAAAAATGTCAAGCATTATTTATTACAATATTTAAAAGGGTGCATGTTTTTGAAAAACTTGTAATTATTACATAGTATGTGCAGAAAAAAGCATAAAGAAAATGATCTACTTTTGTCTATTATCTACCTATTATTATATAGCAATAAAACCATATATGTCATGAAATTACAGTGTATCTTCTACAAAAGAGAGATTATCAAATACAAATGTAACTATTAATTATTAATACCAAGAGCAAACAGAGGAACATTTTTTCAGTGTACCTGGAAAAATAAATTAGAAGGTAGTTTCCAAATAATAAACTAGGAGTATTTTATCAGTATTTTATCATAAATTTTTATTTAACTTAATAAGATCATTCTGGGACAAGATTAAGAGAAGGAAAATAAAAGGTATATTTTAATGCAGCAATTCAATCTGTATAATTACAGATAAGTTTCTTTTGCACTTGTATATTCTATATTTTCTAAACTCCCTGAACTGATCATGTATTAAACATCAAAGAAAGCAAAAATAAATATTAAATCCAATATTTCAAATAGTTGTAAATGATTTAGTGATTGTCTGCATTCAACAAGATACGTTTGATAAGTGTGCATGAATAGTTTGAATAAGTGTCTTGGAAAAGATAAGTAATTTATTTTTAAAAAGAAATTTAAAAATAAATATTATAGATAATAGCACACTTTGAGCTTTCGTACATATATCAGTCTTACATGAATTGTCTGTAAGAGAAAACAAATGGTTCTGTGCATCAATTGAATAGACTCTTATAGCTCAGTTGTACTCATTGCCCTTTAAAATATATACATATATGTATACATATATGTGTGTGTGTGTGTGTGTGTATCCCTTTAAAATAGAAAATGTTAATGATTATTTCTGAAATAATACTCTTTTGTTTCCTCTCTTCTTTCTAGGGCGATTATGGTGGCCCACTTGTTTGTGAACAACATAAAATGAGAATGGTTCTTGGTGTCATTGTTCCTGGTCGTGGATGTGCTATTCCAAATCGTCCTGGTATTTTTGTCAGAGTAGCGTATTATGCAAAATGGATACATAAAATTATGTTAACATATAAGGTATCACAGTCATAGCTGATGTCTGACTGAAGTTCCATCAATACATGAAGATAATACATCCTTTACATGAAGATTTCAGAGAGTATGGAATTAAAATGTCACTTAAAATTATCCTAAGAAAACTACTTGAGTGTTAAGTTTGTTAAGATGCTCATTGATATTTATGAGTTTTTTTCTGTTGTTCTGTTTGTCAGTGTTATTTTGTAAATATTGAAGTGATTTAAGGTACATGCAAGTGTAGTAACAAATCTCCTGAAGATACTTGAATGGAATAAAAAAATGCAAAGGTGTAATTTGCTGGATGATAAAAGATTTAATAGAAAAGATCAATTAATATCCATGCTGCTTTCCAAGGTTAGTTTCTTAATAATTAATAAAACATAAGTTAAACATTATTTTAATCTCACAAAAATTTAAGCTGTGTCCTTAAATTGTTACTTTATATTGAATTATATTACCTTTTATATATTCCATACATTATACTTTATTCATTCCTCCTCACTGTGTATCCCATAAGAATGGTACACACTTTTTGCAAAAGCAACTTACCCATATACACTTGCCTGGTTACACATGTGCATGGACTAGAATAAAAATTGTGAGTATCCAATGTAACCACTGAGTATTCTGAACATGTGTACCTATAGTCTTTTTTAATGAAAGAAAAAAAGAATTCTTTTTAGAAAATACCAGTAGAAATATTTAAGCAAAGTGCCATATAAAGTGAAATAAAAAAGACATTTCATTCTTCATACATAATTAGTAGATGATCTTTTGGGGCTGGCATTAAAGATCTGTTCAGTTATGAATCAAAAATTATGTAACACTAAATTTAGATGCGTAAATAGATTTTTCATCCTAGTATTTTGTGTAATTTCTAATTATTAAAAAAGGAGAAAAATGTCGGTATTATTGATTTTCTACTAACTTAGGAAAAATATTTTGCAAAATATTTCAATTTGTTTTCTAAATGTTGTTTAAATTCCCAGATAACTATTTAATTGAAGAAGTTTAAAACTATTGTCTTTAAAATATGTTTAGGTAGACTTTTTTTTAAGATTTTCTGGCTCGAGATCTTTAATTTTTTTAAACTTAAGGGAAATTCTTCTATAGCCCCAATAACTTGCAAATAAACTTTCATCAGATTATGCATTACATATTAGAGAAGAGAAATCAAAATTAATTTCTCAACTTGAATGATGTTTAGCCTAAAAAAATCTCTGAAATAAATGAAAAAATACAAAAGGAATGGAAAAGGAACTAGTTTATCTAAACTCTGTGCTTAGTTATTTTCTTAAAAAAAATTGGAACCTGATGAAAGAGAAAATCTTTCCAAACATCCTTGTTTACTTCATTTTATGTACATCCTTTTATCACGTGATGTAGTAATTCAGACGTTATATTCTGTATGGTCATAGACATACCACCGTTTTTATTATTGAGTTTGTTGTGTTTAGCTAAAGATCATGTGTTTGTAATAAGTTGGATTATAGGGTGGCCAGAGAGTTAGCACAATTAAGGTACTTGTTTTGCATATCGCCAGTCCCAGTTCAATCCTTAGTACTTCATATAAACACTGTCAAGAGTGATCCTTGAGCACTAAAACCAAAAATAAATTTTAAAAGGCAAAGAACTGATAGAATAGGATCTGAAGTTTTACAATATCTTCCTGTACTAATGCTCTTAAAAATAAGTATTTGAAAAATTTGAATTCCACATTCGCAGTTGTTCTACCTTTTTAATAATGATTTATATTAAAAACAGAACTCAATGATGTATTAAAAACACAATAGAACACTTGTAGCTAAAGTAAAATGATTTTAAAATTTACTCAAGAGCTCAGTACACAGAATATAACTCCAGAAATGTCATTCAAATTGCACCATATATTTTTAAATTAAGAAGATATGTGGTGGTATTAAGAAGCATGATTGCAAAAATATCCGACAAGCTGTCACTCCACACCATCTTATTAGCTTGTATTTCTGTTTCTCATAATGCAGCATTAAAATAAAAAAAATTTTTTCAAGGGCATATTGCACTAACAATATTTTTCAGTTTCTCCTTGGCAAACTTCCATCATTGTGTTGCTTAATTATCATATTATTGACATTTATAAAACATAGAAAGGTAATAGTTTTGTGGAGTTCATGCCCAATTAAATCAGCTAATCAGTGGCTGAATAAATAGCAGTACTGCTACATTAAAAAAAAAAGAAAGGAATAGTTTTAAATACTCACATTTAAAATATTTTTTGTCTTTTCTTCGAAATTTCAGTGGAGAGATAGATTATCTCTATACAAGATGTAGCTAACTCTTGTCATTTAAACTCAGTGTTTTCCATTTTATTAAAAGGATTGCAAAAATGAAACCAATAAAACCATTAAATTTAGTGAAGAAAGCAGCTCTCTCACTGGGAGATTCCTTTTGTTTTATGATCAGTCGAACCAGCATTGAAAATGAGGAAACAACTCATGGTATTTTAGCTGGTAGGACAGGGTATAAACATTTTTATTTGGTTGAAATTAACTATTTTCTGGGCATTCTTTTCTTATGAAACTACAAAAAAAGAGAAATATTCAACTTATTTAAAAAAACTGTTTTATTTACATCATGGACAAAATAATCATTTAAATTAGAAGTTTCCAAAGCTATTTTTGTTGTGGCTGTTTGAATAATAGTCAATTTAATAATTGTGGATATTTTCTATGTCTACAAACAGAAATGTAAAATTAAAATATTTGTCATAATGCCTCTGCTGTGCAGAAGGGATGATAATCCTTTTTATACATCTTTAATTTTATTGTAAAATATGTAATGTCTTTTACCTGTTTGCTGTAGGCAGGTCCTCAGTAAAATGGTTTATATTGAGTCAGTCTCTAGTGTTAACAGGCTCTTGCTTGCTATCTAAGTGTTTCAAATTATGGGAAATGTGAGACACTGGAAGGCAAGAAAAATAACAATAATGGCATGTGATAGTGAAATTGTGTTTCACTTATTCCTGTGAATATTTCTTGTTGGTACCAATGGTACTGTACAAAGTGAATAGCCACAACATTCTCTTGGAAAAAAAGACACTGTTAAGAAATGCAAATTGCTGTCAGATATTTTCTTGTTTTTTTTCTAAATGTTTTAAAAATATTACTTTGCAATTTGGAGAAAATAAGATGCAATATCTTAATTTTAATAAACTCATATTAAAAGCTTTTAATTTACTGAGGTTCAAAAGTAATGATTTTCAATCAATACATCTCATTTGTAAGCAGATTTATGAAAGAAAATTAATAAGACAGTCTACTTATAAATTACTTTCCACAATAAAGTTCAAAAGAACTTAGTTATCTTTCATCTTCAACTAAGTTTCAATGAAGAATTAACTAATTAAAAAATATTAATACTCTACCCAAGATATCTTGACAGCATAATTTTAAGTAGATCATTCCATTTGCACAGAGAGTTTCTATCTTTAGAAAACTGAAATGGAATACTGTGGATATTCTGACTGTCTTATGTGTAAATAGGAAATTGATAAGCTGCCTATTGTGATGTAGCTGGATGCTTACCCAAGAAGGTGACACTGTGGTTTTGACTTGTATATAAAGTTTCTGTAGTTAATAAAGTTGTTATTTTTATAGCCATGATTATATTATTATTCTGAATAATAATAAAATATTTTATCAAAATGGTCCCTTTCTCATATTATAATGTTATGTGGACATATTTGAGTCAGCTCTATGATTTAAAGTAGGAAAGAACAAAATCACACCACCAAAAATCACATATACTTTGTTGCAATAAATGTTATTGCATTATAGACTAAGTTCATAGAATTAAAAGTATCCAGCTTCTATTCATGGCAATGACAATAACTCTAAATACGCCACTGATCTTCATTTGTCCCACTGCAGTATTTAATTATTTAGTCATTCTTCCTATCGGCTAGAATGGCAATGATGAAATTTTCTAATAAATACATATACAAATACATATACAATGTATCATTACATACATGAGTCATTATATCATATGTCACTATATACATGTGTCACTATATATGTGTCATTAACAATAAGCTAAATCACTTTACCATATCATTATCATAAGTTAAGCAATGACTCAGTTAAGCAATCTGGATAGATCTAACAAGAGCTCCATAACATAATTATTTCAAATCACTTTGGTATCTGCTTCCTCTATGCTTTGTACAGTTTTATAACCAGTTGAATTTATTTTCTGCTACTCGAAGCACATTCCACATTCTAGTTGTTTTCAACCTCTGGCCCACAGACGTGCTGGTTCTTAGTATCTCTGCACAGGCAGCTACCTGTTTTCAATTGTAGGATGGTTGAAAACCAGCCACAAACTTAATCTAAACAACAGTACAGGTGCTTTCTCTAAACATTTTCCTCAAATTATAGCACTATAATGTAACACCTTAATAAAAGTCTTATAGTAGACATCATATATCATTGTTCTTTCAAAAATTTTATTTCCACATGTAGGAAAGATAAAATTTTACTATAATTTTAATTTTAAAAATGTGTAGAGGCTGTGGAAATTGCTCAGAGAGTTAGAATGTATAGTCTGCATGTGGGAGCCCCAGGTTTGAGCCCAACACTACATGATCCCCTGACCACCAGCAAGCATAGTCTTCCCAAAAAAAAAGATGTGTGTATATATGTATATGTGTATGTGTGTTTTAATGAAGGATATTCTATTGTCTATTGCCAGAGAAATAGAGGAATTAAGGCATATGCCACGCATAAGACCAACCCATGTTGCTTGCACCATAAATGTTCTCCTGAGCACTGCCCAACTTCACTCCTGAGCATAGAGCCAGGAGTAGCCTCTGAGCACCATGTGTATGACCTCCACCCTTCAAAAAAGTCCACAGAAATATAATCTTCCCTAAAGTACATGAAGAGGGACAGAAAATACCAAAGATAATACATATTATGTATTTATGTACTTAGTCTGTATAAATATTTGTATATATTTATGCTTTAAAAAGTAAACAACATCAAATAAAATAAAACAAATCCTATCAACTTTCTATAACCACTCTAACTTTGAATTTTCTTCCCACCCAAATGTTCCTGAATTCTCATCACTTTATTTTATTATTTAGGGAGTGGATGGGCTTGGACCACAGCCTCTGGTACTCAGGTTCTTTTCCTGGTTCTGTGTTTAGGAGCGACCCCTGGTGGTGCTCATGTAAGATACGTGGTCCTGGGCAAGTGCCTTACCTCCAGAGTTGTCTCTAGCCTGATTGCTTTCATATTTAAACTTCATGCCCGTGTTCACAGATTCTCTCAGACAACATGCATGTCTTCAATATTTTAAAGGCCTTAACTAACTGTCATTTAATTTCCCTATTGAATTTGGTCCTAGTACTTCTGAGTCATTCCTAGTGGTTCTTGAGAGACCATGTGATGCAGGGGAGTGGACGTATTATATACCTTGTATAGTATAATATAATATGATATAATATCATATAATATTAAATAATATGTATTATATTATCAGCCAAATTCTATATTGTATAATATTCAATATATATAATTATCTAATGGGTATGTCATACATAATATATGTAATAATATAATGGATATGCTGTATGTTATATATTATATATAGTACATATTATATTTTACAATACCTAAGGCCTCCATTATGCAGAGCATGTGCTCCAACCTTTGAAATAGCACCCCATTTCTATTCTTTTTTTAAAAAGGGGAAATCACCCAGCGATAGCCCAGCCAGTAGGGCATTTGCCTTGCACGCAGCTGACCTGGCAGACCTAGGTTTGATTCCTCTACCTCTCTCTGCAAGCTACCAAGAGTATCTCGCTCACACGACAAAGCCTGGCAAGCTCTCTGTGATGTATTTGATATGCCAAACACAGTAACAACAAGTCTCACCGTAGAGATGTTACTGGGCCCGCTCGAGCAAATTGATGAACAACGGGAGGACAGTGCTACAGTGCTACACCCCTAGTGGTACTGGGGGATTAACAAGAGCAACCCTAGTGTTGTTTCTCCCCAAGCTATGGGAGGGTGTTAACCTGGTGATTTGTTGCTCAGGTCTGTTTTTCTGAGGGACTGCAAGGGCCGAACATAGTGGTTTTAGGGTGGCTCATGTGGATTTGGGATTCAAATAGGGGCTTGTACATGAAGGACATATGTCCCAGCACCTTAAACTAGCTTGCTGGCCTCCAAATTACAAAAATAAAAATAAATTGAAATATTTAATTTTTCATTTATCTAAATAATATATGTCATTAAGATACTTATGAAAGACTATATCTACATATATATGTATATATACTGTCTGATTTTTATCTGAGTATTTCATGAAGGCTTGTATGAAGATGCTTGAAGGCATCATGGTTTTGAGCATCGAACTCACACCCTGGCAAATGCTAGACATTTGCTCTACCACCCATTCTGCACTGTTCTTAATGCACTGTCTCCCTCCATGGAGACATCAGCAATATTATCTACTCTTTGTTTTACACAGAGATTCAACATTATGATACTCCATTATTTTATTTTATTTAACATTCTAGCATCCACTCTCCTTACAATTTATTTGTTTTTCTGGAGTTGGGGATTGAAACTGGGGTCCTATACATCCAAGAATTGCTTTATCATTGAACTATATCCTCAGCACATCTTCTTCTTGATGATATATTGGTGTTATCAAAAATCTGTGATTTTCTAGGGGCCAGGGCCTAGCACATAGGGCCTTTGCTTTCCAGCTGTAGTCTGGCACCTCATATAATTCCCCAGTATGCTGCCAGGAGTGATCCCTGAGTGCAGAGACAGGAGTAAGCCTGAACACTGCTGTGTAGCAAAAAAAAAAAAAAGAAAGTAAGGCAATCAATTATGAAAAATAAGAATCTTATGGATTCATTTAATTATATTATTAGATTCTAATTGTTAAGTGTAAATAATTTGAAATTTTATCATACCATTAAACATGCAACTTGAATAAAGGTATCATTAATTTGAAATGTTGATGTATTTGTATGGTTACTAAAAATAAAAGAATTTAATTTTAATGGATATAAGTGTTTATACAATCTAATATTTATATTATATTGCTTAACATTTTTCTATTGGGATTTCTTCATAAATGGTTGGTGAAAGGATCATATCAATTATTATAAAAAGTTCTGAGTCAACAATAGTCTACTTATTACTTATGTACAAATATGGCATCTACTATCCATTGAGAAGTTTCACAATACTGTTGCTCCATTAGAATAGGTTTTCATTTGATAAGCTTTCTTAACAGAGAAATCAACATGGGTAATATGTTGAAATGAAGTGAGGAGAAGATAGTCATGTTAAATTTTTCATTTACTTTTAGCTAGGCAAAACTTTGTCCAATGTCAATGTCTCTGATTTGTTTTAGGTAGCTAAAATCCAAATATAGATATAATTTAGAATCCATGACTTACTAAAAACAATATATCCTGTGAAGGAAAATAAGAAGTAACTTAATGAGCAAAACTTTGACATGATAGAAAAATAAATATGATTAAAGAAACTTAGAATAATGAAGAGAAGGGAATTCATGATTTAATAGCTTTCTTGGATTGACCAGTCATTTTGAAAGGAAATTATCAAGTCATTTTAAAAAGAACAGAATTTGGGAAAACAAAATTGATATTTTGTTCAGTAGCTTAGGACACCACTGTGTCCCTTTCCTTTGACCAATGTCTCAGGGTCCCACTCTGCATTCCTTCCCACCCCAACATCACATTTTTTTTAATACTGGAGGAAATTGGTAGTTGTATGGAGGTGTTTACAGTTCCCCTAGATAAAGTCAGCAAAAAAAATGGAAAGCATTATTTTCTATTAGTCTCTGTCTTTCTTAGTCACAGTTAACTTGGATTTTCCAAATCCACTTGAAAACACTAAGTACAGTAAGACTCCCTGTAAAACACTGGTCATGAGCACAGAGCTTCCACATTCATATCCAATTTCCCACTTGTATTCTTTCTTCTTCATTTCTTTTTCACTTGCTGCCACTCTCACATATATACCCTTCCCTTTCAAGGGTTGCTTTCAGAAGATTACACAGAATACCCTTTTCACCTTGGAAGATTTCCACATCTTTTCAATGCTTGACATAACATGGCAGGAAATTCAGTAAGGCAACTAAATAGGAAAGAACTGAAGCACCAGGTGGAAACATAAAGGAAAAGATTTCAAAAGTCAAATCTATTTAATATTTTTTACCTAGACGTGCTAGCTGGAGTTGATTAAATGTGTTCAAAACTGCATCTCAATCCTTTTTCCTTCATCAATCTTCTCAATTAAAGGTACATTAATCAGGTTTGCTCAAAACAAAAATCTAGAAAGTCCCATTTTACCTGTTTATATACATTTTTCTTTTTAAGGTGGGGGAGGTGGGGAGCACACCCAGCAACATTCAGGGATTACTCCTGCCCTTGTGCTCAGTATTTCTCTTGTTGGGGCTTGAGAGACAATATGGGGTCCTTGGAATTAAACCAGAATCATCTGTATGCAAGATAAGCACCCTACCTGCTGTACTATTTCTCTGACAATCCATCTCTTTCACCTATTTTCATGTCCTTTCCTACTCCTAACAAACACTAGACCATCAATTTTACCTTTTGAATATCTTAAATCTCTCATGTTCTTGAATCTCCAG